GGCCTGCTGCATCCTTTGCCCTCAGCCCCTGCCCCCTTGCTTGTCTGGAGTGGGGGGCACAGCGCTGTCTCAGAGGGTCGCTGGGGTGAGGCAGGTCACCCACTGGTCCAGGCCTGCTTTCTTCTCCAGGGCTCCTCTCCTGCCCCCAAGAACACAGGACAGGGTTGCTTCGGGTGCAAGCTCAGCTCTGCCTTGTACACATGACCTGGTGCATGAGTGGCCTCGTGTCTCCCACCAGACAAAGCCCGAGTCTCTACACTGTCCTGGAGCAGACGCGGTGATGCGTGTGTAGAGTGACGTGGGGCGGGAAGAACCACGGTGGAAACTGAAGAGGCCACGCTGGCAGCCAGGAAACCCATAAAAGGAGCAAACGGAGCAGGCGCCCGACTCCTGGATGCTCTGGGGTCCCTGCCCTTCGGTGCCCCATGCATTTCCCTGCTGCCAGGGCTGTGGTCCTGATCCGGGACAGACTTCGGCTCCTCCCTTCTCCTGCTGCGGAAACCTCGTGTGCTATCAGCCCCAGTCCCAACTTTGGCTTCACCAAACTGGACAGGAACAGCCCTGTTAGGACCCACAGCCTGTGGGTGACAGCCGTGGTGTGCACCCCAGGAGCAGCATGTGAACTAGTTCCTTGCTGGACCAACGGGGGACCACGGAGGACTCCCATGGAGGACTTACAGGTGCCTGGGTGCCTTGAGCTAACTTCCACATGGAGAAGGACTGGACCCCGGGCTTACGGATGGACGGCTGCCTCTTTCCAGACCTGGGACCTGCTCCCACCAGAGGCCTGTTCACTCTTGGTCCGCAGGTTCTGCATAACCCTGGAGGTAAAGGCCCATTTGACCTGTGCGTGGGGGGATCACCCCAGACTCAGAAGGAAAACAGGCCCGCTGCAGGCCTCTCCAGGCAGGTGGCAACCTCTGTCCGGCTCGGCTGCTGGTCTTCACACCAAGGACTGTCACCTCGTGTGCTGGACAGACTTCCCCGAGCCAGACACCCTGGGTCCACCCTGCACCCGGCGGAGTGTGAAGTCCAGCTCAGTGAGAACCCTGCTGCGGAGCTGACAGTGACGGTTCCTGTTCGCACCCACACGTGCCAGGGAGACTCAGTCAGTGTGGCGTAAAGCTGCTGTGAGCGATGGCGTCTGTCACCTGGTGGTTTGGCAGCGGAGTCGGAGGCGTGGCCTAGGATGGCACACAGGGCTCTGGAGTCCTGCGTGTTTACCAGATCCGCTAGGCAATGCGCACAGGTCGGTGGACCCCGGCACAGAACTGTCACATAATAGGGCCTGCGTCCCTTCCCGAAGTAACACGCCACCCCTGCCGTTTCCCACACACTGCCTGCTGTATGTAAGCCTAATGTAAGGAAATGACCGGCCTATTACTCTTAAAGGTGCCAGTGAATGCTGCGCATGGGGTGCATGGGGTGCATGGGGTGTATGCCTGTGATTCCAGCACTCAGGAAGCCGAGGCAGGACTACCACAGTCCTATCTTAAAAAAAACTTTTTAAAAAAAGGTCCCTGCATGATACAAGATAGACCAGGAGCTGCTCCTGATGAGACAGAGAGAGCCAGATGTCACCTGTCCCCTCGGGTGGGATCCTGCACTGTCACACTGGAAGGACAGCCCACAAACTGAGCCTTAGAAGGCGGCAGTGCAGAGGTCAAAGGTGCTGCTTTGGCCTCTGTGCTGCGGTTATATCCCGGAATGCCAGCTTTAAGAAACACACCTCACGGCACTGAGATTCCAGTCCTGTGCACTCACCACTCACTGTTTCTGGAAAGAATCCACCCACGGACGGAGACACGTGGGGCGCAGTGCGGCAAAATGCACGGCTGGCCGTCCAAACGGGGGTGCGCAGGGTTCTTGGAATTATGTGGAATTCTGTCAGTTTGAAAACTCACAGAAAGAGCGGCAGGGAGAGATGGGTCAGCTCTGCGGACCTTCTTCACATGACTGGGACAAGGCCAGCTCACCTGTCTGGTCAGGGTCCATCATGTAAGCAGAGTGCACCTGGGCTGCCCACTCCGAGTGGACGCTCTGGGAGGAGATGGTAAGGCTGCCCTGGACCTGCTGGGCCTGTGGCCTCGTTTTCTATCTGGATGGCTCTGAGTGTGGGTCCCCTGGAGCCTACAGAGCGGGGAGCACTGGGTGAGCTCTGCCTGCCGTTTCAGGACAGCGTCCCCGCAGCCATGGCCCGAGCTCCCTGGCACGGCTCTGGGAAGCACTCGCCCTGCCCGGTGACCAGCCCCATAGAAGAAGTCACGGCTGCTGGAAGAGCGGGGACCTCAGGATCAGAGGCCTCCGTTTTGCGGTGCCTCGGTTCTGCCTTTGAAGGCTCTTAAGAAAGAGAATTTCTTTAAATGAATGGAAACAAAGACCGAGCTATCCCAGCATCACCTTCTGTGGGCCAGAAATGTCCACAGGTGCAGAGTTGACATTTCACAAGTTTTAGGGGCTTCTAATGAAAAATAGACCTTAGGACTGAAAAAACACGAGTGTGAAGGCACACAGCACGAAGCCATGACGGCACAGGGCCGAGGGCCAGGCTACTGTCAGGCTGTTGGGGAGGTCACAGCTGTGCTGGTGGAAGGCACAGCTTTCTAAGGCCAGCAGGGCTGCGGTGCTGACCCTGACGCCTGCATCCCCACTGAGGGATCCTGGGCAGGGCGTGTCATTCTCTGAGTGTCCTCTCTGTGGCTGGATCAGAGAGACAGTGGCACCTCTCTCAGTATTGGTGGCTGTGGGGACCACGTGCCAGCACCAGGGCTCCGTGAACGGCAGTGCTCACTTCTGCCCGGGGGTGTGGGCCGTGTGTGTGAGGCGATTTCAGTCACATCTTCTTCTCTGCAAACACAGAGCGCCCTGGTGACCTCGGACGAGGCCTAAACTCACAGACAGTGGAGTCTTTGAAAGGGCAGCCTTAAAGTGGGGTCTGTGCTTTCATGACGGGCACAAAGAAGCCATTGGTCAGCGTGGCTGTGGTGTGCAGTGTGAGACAGTGTGACACTAAGCTTTGAAGCAGGAGGCTGAGTCGGCCCAGCGAGGGCTGGGGGCTGGTGACCCAACCTGTCCTGCATCTAGGAACACGCTGGACAGGCTGCAGGAGCCGGTCGCCACCCCGTGGATTTGCTTCCCGATGTCTACACGTGCTGGGGACTTGTGGAGTCTATTCCTCGTGGATTTGGGGTGTTTGGGAGGGTGGGCTTTCCTGTTGGGACTGTGTGTGACGCACAGACGCTGGAGGAGGAGGACACCAGCTCCACAGCCATCCCCTATAGGTTCCGCTGCTCGCGCCTGCTTGCGTGTGACGCCCGCTTCCCCATCGTCAGGTGAAGGGGGGGGAATCGCAGCATAAGCCCTGGCTCTGCACATGCTGACCCGAGATTGGGCGTCACTCCACCTAAGCGCAGTCTCCCATGGGTGGACGGGTGCGTCCACACTGCGTTCCTCCCAGGGGCTGTGCGCTAACAGAGGAGGCTCCGTGGCACAGTGCTAATTAACAACTGTGAGTTACCCTGGACACAAATGCTTTGGGCGCCATGAGAGGGCCCTGCTGCTGCTCTCGGGTGCAATCAAGGCGGCAGGAGTGTGGTTAGCATGAAGACACCGTTGTGCTCCGCTCCAAGCGGGTCTCGGCCTGGGGAGTGGGTACCAGGCCCAAATGGTGGCCGCTGCCCACCTGGCTGGCAGAGGGTGTTCCTGGGATCCAGGCTGTTGGCTCTGTGATACAGGAACATCAGCGTTGAAGCTGGGTATCCGCCAGCCTCTGAGCTCCTGCCTGACGTGGCCTGGCCTGTGGAACCAGGGCTCTCCCGTGGCTGCGGAGTCCGTTTCTGCTGTAATAAACTCTGTGCAGGAAGCTGCATGGTCTCATAACCCATTGTGTCAAAGTAACCAGCACCTCCTCTCCTTCTCAGGAGTGACCCAGTTTGTTGACAGACTGCATGGTCGCTAGCAAGGGCTATCAACATGCAAACAAAAGTGAGGTAGATGGACATGATGCCAGTGCCAGGACAGTTATTTTCAAGGCTTTGGGGAATTAAACACTGACTTTTCAGCAGGTAATTTTCAACCTGGTTGATAGTGATTCATTCAGATCATGGCCTAAGGCAGGGGTCTGGAAGGAAGAGGAACTCGTGTGTGTCCGTGCCTGTGTGCATCACAACTGCCCATGGGGCCGCCTGTGTGTGCACAGGGGCCAGGCCGGCAGTGGAGTGCAGCTCCCAGGTGGGGGGATCGCTGGACATGGGGTTCAGGGAGAGGAGCATGGTAGGTTCCGAGGAGCCCTGCTGGCCCAGAGCACCACCGAGAAACCGGGTTTTCAGGTGCCCTTGGGTACTTGTTTTGGGGTGTTGTACTTCTCAGGGTGCTCCTGCTGCTTTCATTACTGATAAATGTGTACGTGTGCCACAGAAATGTTGCATGTGTACACACCTACATGTGTGTGCTTTCTCTATAAATTACCTGTCTGTAAGGAGTAGTCCTAGTGACCCACCTCCTGCCTGCATCTCAGACGAAGCCCCTGTGCTGGGCACACAGGCAGCGCGGTGGCTGCCGCCTGACTGCTCCAGGCCTGTCCAGCTGCTGCGTCGGAGGGACAGGGCTTCTCTTTGCCACTGGTTCCAGGGGGTGAGCCGGAAGCCAGATAGAAAATCTCAAAGTGCCTGAGGTTAGAGGCTAAAGCAAGATGGGCCTCAGGCAAGGAGGGGCTGATGTCAAATCGGGGCGGAACCAGGAGGATGGGAAGAGCCGCACTGCTGCTGTGGACTCAGACCGCGCCTGTGCTGGAAGAGGTCGCAGCTCCGGGATGAGGGCCCGGGCCGCACGCCTGCCGTCCCAGCACTCTGAAGGCTGAGGCAGGAAAACCACAAGCTGGAGCCCAGCCTGGGAAGCGCAGGGAGAGCTTATCCTGACATGGAAAACAGGACAGGACTGGGGCCGAGCTCAGGGCGCAACGGCTCCAGCCCTAGTACCAAGGAGCGGTGGCGATGGGGAGGAACAGTCTGAACTTCCGTTTATTGAATGCAGCTTTCGCTGGTCACATGGCAACTTGATACAGACAGCCCCGCAGTGGAGGGCGCGCTCTTCCCGTCAGTGTAAACGCGACATGAACGTGAGGAGCATGGGACAGGGAGGAAGTCCAGTGTCCCCTCGTCTGTGCAGCTGAGGGTGCTGTCGCCGTCAGGGCTTGAGGAGACGGAGGTGAGGACCCCCTCCACTGCTGGTCTCCAGACTCTTGCAGCCCCCACGGCCTGCCAGTCTCCAGAGCCAGGCCCCTGGAACCGGAGTAGGCTCCCCTCCGTGTCGTGCCTCCCACGCCCTCCCCTTGAGGATTGGTCACTGTCCCCAAGGCCTCACTGCCTGTGCCCCCTCGGCACGGGAAATCCTGAGTTCCAGGCTCTGGCACTGACCTGGAGGACCGGCCGAATCTCAGGCTCTGTGGGGACTCGTTTCCCCGTGCCCTGATGGAGGAGCAGGTGGAGGTGGAGGATTTTCCTCTACAGCCTTAAAGAGCCAGCTTTTCCATTTTGGATTCCCAGACTAAAAATAAAACCAAATCCCCCAAACTAAAACAAAATGAAACAAAACAAGAGTGGCTTTGAGGATAAAGAACCCGTCAACCCTCCTCCAGGTCCCGGCAGGTGGGCGCCACGACCGGGGACTTTTCCCGATGGCTGTGCCACACCCTTGGCCTGTGTCCTGACCCGCTGCACTCCGAGAACCCAGGATGGTTTCCTCAGGGAAGCCCCGCCTCATTCTGACCTCCTGGGGTGCTGGTGCCCAGCACCCCGCCGCCGCCTCTCCCGCCCCAGGCCTGCACAGGCCCACGTTCGTCCACGCGCCCGGCCTGGGTCTTGGCTCCGCAGTGCGAGGAGCCCTCGCCCGCTCTCCCCTTCCACATCCCTTTCTCCAAGCCACTGGTGCCACTGCGCTGTTGTCCTGTATTCTGAGCTGCAGAGAGAGGCTGCTGGACCCTGGTCTAAGATTGTGGTGACAGCAGCTTGGTGGAGCCAGAAGACAAGAAAAACAAACCGAAGAAGGGCTGCTGACTGTGACCTGGAAGGCTGGGCACCAGCGGGCCGAGGCGGCGGGTGTGGCTGTCCCCCACGGCGTGTCTGTCCCTGGCAGTGGCTTTCCCAGACGCTAGCTATTGTTCTCGGCCGTGAGATATTTCAGGGCGGCAAAGCCATAGCGGCGGGACATGTCCTGCTGGAATTCTTCCTTGAGTGTCTTGAGACACACGCGGTATTGCTTGTTGGAGCGGAACTTGGTGATGTCGAAGCTGGGAGCGTGGGGCATGTGGATCATGTAGGCGTTGGGCAGCACGATGAACTCATACTCCTGCAAGCAGAAGGACGGCAGGGTGAGGACCGGCCGAGCCCTGGTGACCCGGGTGAGGGCCGTGTGGGGACGCAGGGGCCGTGGCTCAGGCTGATTCCCGGATCCTGCATGGGACCTCGGGCGAGCTGTCCGGCTCGGAGGAGAAACAGGGTGCAGCACCCACATGGGTCACTCAGGGGATGCGGCCCTAGGACAGCTGCTGCCGGGTGGACTGCGGTCTGCCTGCTGTGACTGTGTGTGGATGAGGGGGCCAAAAGGGGACAAGGAGGAAGCTCATGGGGAGCAAACCTGCTCTGAGGGGCTGTCACACATCAGCTCTCTGCGGTCCTCAGCCCGACAGGTCGGGGCCAGGTCCTCCACCAATCTCCAAAGGCCTCTGAGGCCAAACCCGTGGCCCAAATCTCAGATGTGACAGCACCGGTAAGACTGAAGTCCCACCCCCTCCTCCCGCCGGGATGCATCTGGATGCAGCGTCTGACCATCTCTGCTTGCCTGGCTGCCCGGCCCAGCGAATCAACACAGCAAGGCCCCGGGCCCGAGGAGGAGCAGCTGACCGTGAGGAGAGAGGCAAACCTCAGGGACACGAGCAGAAGTCCCTGTGCTCAGCCCCCTGGACCCTGGCGGCAGGGCCCCACCCATCCCTTTGGCTCCGGTGGGTGTGACCAGGCTACCTGTCCCCCAGTCTTCAAGTCACTGGGAGGAGTAAAATGTGACATGGGCTGTGGGCCAAGAAGGGAAAATGGGTACCAAGTTTGCAAGAATTCCATTACACTGTCAAACAACAAAGTTTCCTGCACCACAAGAATCACCTTCCTGGTACCTGGCTTACCTCACAGCACTGTTGGCCCTGTGGACGCTGCACCCTGCCATCTACGTGGCCTGGGACACCCTCTCGGGTGTTTGAAAAACACAGACGCTAAAGGCCACGCTTCTTGTCCTTCAGGACAGACCCCATGCGACCACCTACTGCCTGTACTGTGGCTCAGCCCTGTGTCCCCAGCCTCCCTGGGCCGCTGGCCGTCACAGCAGTTGGCTGCCCAGCATGAGCGCCTCAGCGCTGGGAGCACTTGCTGGGACTGGGAAGGAGGCGCTTGGAGAACGGTGACCCCAGGGCGGGGTGGGGCTGGGACCGGGTGTTCTCTTCTGAAGTGACGGGGTCAGCTTTGTTTTGTTTGCTCAACACAGGGGCCAGCAGGTGTCAGCACCTGTGGGCCACTGCGTGTCTGCGAGGAGGAGGAGGGGTCAGAGTGTGGTCAGCCGTCTGTGAGGGCCCCATGCAGCCCTGGTGCCACCCGGACCTTCACGCCAAGGCTCACAGGGCCCCACCGCCGAGGAGCCACAGAAGTTCCTTTTACTCAGACAGTGAGTGGGGATTTGTGGCTCATTGAAGGGCAAACTTCACCACTCCTTTAGCTGATGTGTGGAGCATTAGTGGCATCTTGGTGGCCGCCTAAGTGTGCTGTGTCCACTCCATAGCTCAGGGGCTGCGGGATGCGTTCTGGTCATCAAGAGTGGGTGACAATGAGGACTGAAATGCGTGTCACAAACACTTCCCCAGGCCTGGATGGGGGCACAGCTCACAGGCACAGGCAAGAGAGGGCAGTGGGCACTGTTAGCTGTCCCCAGGGTCAGTGCTGCCACTCCTGCTCCTTGAGCCCAGTTCCTCCCAGGACACTCCCTCTCCAAGTCCGTCCAGTATGAGCCCTGAGTCCCACCCACTCCAGGTGGACGGCCACTGTCCTCACCTGTGCGTCTAGTTCCATGATGTGGGCCACCTTGTTCCAGCCGAAGCCCACGAACCTGCGGTCGTACTCAGGGCAGTCCCGTCTCACGACGACGTACGGCTCGAAATCGGCCTCCCACTCCACCCGGTAAGGCGTGGTGGCAGTCCGCCACTTGGCAAAGTTTGTGGGTGCGTGGCCTTTTGTCCAGACGTGGTACCTGGGACACACGGAGAAAAGCCCCTGGGTGAAGGGCAGGACACCTGCTCCTGGGCAGGAGCTGGGAGAACCGTGCTGTGCTGCCAGGCTTGTGTCCCGTCACTGCAGCCCGGAGCTTGTGCCACCCTTGCTGACAGCCTGCAGTGATGCGCCCTGTGGGTGGCCAGCGAGCTCCTGGGTGTGCTGAGTGGGTCCATCTGCAGACTGGCCCATGCCAGGGTCTCTCCTTCCAGAGACCACTGGGAAAATGCCATGGCCCCCACCAGCAAGCTCAGCCACGCGGAGGTAACACTCAGGTCACCTGTACAGCAGAGGGACTTCTGTGGACAGGGCCAGCATGCTGGCCAGGGAGACTTGGACTAATGGAAAGGGAGATGATGGCCCAGGTGGGCCTGGCCCGGTCAGGGAACTTTGGTGCAGATCGGAGGGAAGCAGAGTGGCGCTGTGAGCTGCACTGCACAGAACGGGATGTGAGGAGACTGGAGGCCAGAGCCGGGGAGCCGGACCTCAGTGCACCACGTGAGGGGAGGAAGTCAGCTGGCAGCGGGAGAGGCAGAGCCCGCCCTCCGTGGAGGGGGCACTCGGTCTTCCCAGCACTGTGACTCCACTGAGGGCCACACTGCGTGTTCAGCTCTCACTCGCCTGGTTCGGGTCATGCCTGACCGGTGGTAACCCGGTCTGCCTGGCCCTGCCCCTTGGGACAGAGGTCAGGGCTGAGGCCCCAGATGGAACAGAGGATGAACAGATGGCAGGGAAGGAACCCCAGAGACCCCAACTGGCCAGGCACGGAGAACAGCACTGTCGGGCACCTGCGGGGAGCGAGGCGAAGCCAGAGAAGGGGTCAGTGCCCAAAGTGGGAGGGCACATGGGAGGCAGAGATGATCTTGGTCTGGTCTCATCCTGGTCGCATGGCAGGCTGGGGCCAGGCTAAGGACTGTCCCTGGGGCTTGAGGCACTGCTGGCAGGAAGGAAGCTGCCACCCCAACTCACTGTCGTCCTGAGGCTGGGTTCCTCTGCACCCTAGGGCCTTGCCAGGTGGGCCAGATGGGCACTGGCCAGCAGGCACCTTCCACAGAGCTGTGCTGTTAGGGGAGACAGCAGGACCTGGCACCACGGTGTCCTCACAGCTAGGCCAAGCACTGCCACATTACCGGGGTGCAAGGGCACTGCAGGAGGGGTCAGCCAGGGGTGAACCCAGAGGGAGGCCAAGGAGCTGCTGATTCTGTTCATACTCACAGAAACCGCCAGCCTAAATCATGGCCGGACTCTGGGGTCCAGGCTCAGTGCTATGAAGCCATCCAGCAGGGTTATGGTCCCGCATCTGCCACCTGGCAGCAGAGGACCCTGCACAGAGCACCTGAGCTGTCTTCAGCTCCTTGCAGTCGCCTGGGAAGAGCAGCGCTGAGCTGCCCTACTGCTGAGGAGCTCCAGGGAGCCCGGGCAGAGTGGCAGAGAGAGAAGGTGGTGCTGGTTGCCTGGAGGCTGTGTCACCAAGTGGGTGTCGCAGAGCTGGCAACCGGGTGTGAACTGTGTCCTTGAACCAGCAGGGGCAGACTCACTGCCTGCTGGTAAAATGGGACTGATGGTGACCCTGGTGGGTGGAGAGGATTCTTCCAGGGACCCTGCTCTGGGCTGGGTTGCCATGGGCGATGCTCTCCCCCTGCTGCTCCCGCCGGCCTCCCAGATGCGATGCCGGCTCACAGTGCTCCTGCCCTCCAAGGCCACTTCGTTCTCTGCCGTCAGACTCCATCCTCCTGGCTGCTTTAAAGGGGAGGCGAGCCCGGCAGAGGGCATGCCTGGCTTGGTTCTGCGTGTCTAGCCGGGGGGCAGAGTGGACAGAGGATGATGCTGGAAGGAGCACCCTCACCCCAGCGCGGTGGGGACAGGTTTCAGCTGCTTGCAGCCTAGGTGCTCATTACGTGGAGAGCAGGTGACAGAGGCAATTCTTAGAGGAAGGCCGGTAATTTAGCACTTGGCGTGGAGGCTCGAGAGCTGGGCGGGTGGCAATCAGGGATGCGGCAGGCTACGCTCCAGCTCATGCCCAGGGACGCAGCCTGGAGAGGGCTCTCAGGTCACTGGGTGGAGATGCAGGAAGAGCACTCCAGAAATCCGCCAGGCGCTCGGCGACTGGGCAAGACTTGGGGGAGGTTTTGGTTTCCAGGAGCAATTTTCATGTTGTCTCTTAAACACTGACTGGCAGGAAATCCAGGGATCATCACAGCCCGGTGGGTTCAGAGGAAGCACAGCGGCTCCTCAGGCCAGGTCGAGTCTGTGCCCGTGGACAAGATCCTTGGCCGCCCAGGCCCTCAGCGCGTTTATCTGTGTGGTTCATTGGAGCCTCCTCACATCCGCTGGGAGACCGCAGTGCCCAGCTTCTGCCAAGCACTCAGCCCCAGGAGCCTGTAAGTTCTTTCTGACTGCAGGATGGCTTGGGCGAGGCAGTGAATGTGTCTGCGATGGCTGTGACTAGCTTGTCTTGCTGCCAGGAAGCTCTGCTCCTGCTAGCTTGACTGACTGAAGGTACCCTTGTGACTGTCCCAGTGGGTGGCACTGTCATGCAGGTAGCACTGGAGGTTCAAGCCAGTGACACCACGTTAAGGCTGCTGGGATTGTGCTGGCCGCTCCTGCATGGTTCCGAACCAGCCTCACCCACTGAGTGGTGGGACGGCTGCCAGACTGCTGTATGGCTCCTGCTCACTGCCCCCCACTTCCCCTAAGGCCAGCTCCTGCCCCCAGTGCTGGAGCCCACGGGCACCTGAGGTTAGACCTGCCTCGGGCAGCTCCCTGCAGGACTCCTGCCGGAAGGTAGAAAATGGGGCTTTGCTCCCAACTGGACTTGGGTGGCAGTGTCCCCATCAGCTGTGTGACCTGTGTATCACCTCCAAAGGACTTCAGGATGAAGCTACTGCTACCCAGGCCAGGCCCACAGGGCTCTGAGAATAGACTGACCGCACCCCAAAAGGAAGGCCGATCCAGGGTGTTCACAGAAGGAAGCCCAGCTCCAAGCTGAGGCAGAGCAGAGCTTGCACGGGCCCGCCAGAAGCAGTGGCCTGGCCTCTGTGCCTTGCACGCCCCTCACCCCGTGGACAAGACCCGTCAGAATGGCGCTGGGCAGGGGTTGCAAGCATGGAGTGGGTGAGTCGCATTTCTCGGGGTTTGCAATGGACTTTGGGAGGCACCAAAGCAACACTGGGTTCCGGGGGGTGGGGAGAGACGGGTCCTTCACGCCCCGCGGGACAGCAGCAAGCGCCCCTCACCTGAACGTGAAGAGGGTCCCCATGTCCAGCATGGACAGCAGCTCCGCCTTGGACTTAGGAAAGGAAAGCCGGTAGCGCAGCGTCTCGAATGCAGGCACGATCATCGCCTTCTTGGTGTTGGCGAGGTCCAGCTGGACGACAGACTTCCTGGAAAGACAGGCGGCAGTGTGGGCCTGGGACACCTGCCCAGGCGCCTCCCCAGGTGGCCAGCGGCCCAGGGAGGCCCTCAGTGTGCCAGACACTGCGCAGGGAGCCCGGGGAAGCAGTGGTGGCCTGGCCTCTTGGGCACTGACCGCCGAGGTAGGGTGACCGCTGTGTGCGAGGGGAGCTCAGGGGCTTCCTGCTCCTCCCTCGGTACCACTGGCCTCAGGACAGCATGGGGGCGGCACTGACCAGAGTCACAGTCCCCTAACTCCTCAGCCCTTGGATGGCCTGGCCCTGCACCCAGGACCCCGTGGCACCCAGGACTCTGTTGGAGTGGCAGCAGGCAAGGTGATGTGACACTCTGTGGCACGCTGGGCACGTGGTGATGAATGGAAGTGACTGCACTGCTACTGAGTCACTTCCGGTCTCACCATTGGAGTGGTGGGCACCGACAGCCCCTGAGCCTCCAGTGAGAAGCAGCCCCACGGCTGTGCCGTGCCAGAGGACCACTGTTCCACGGTCACATCATGCCACAGCCCAGCTCCCCATCAGCCAGGCACCTCACCCACTGCCTGCGGTGATGGAGTTGGGGCAGAGGCTACAGGAGCCCTGGAGCCCGGGGTGTGGAGGACACGGTCCCAGCACGGGGAGCCTGTTCCTCAGTCCACAGGCCTGAACACCTACTACGAACCACACACCAGAAACCAGGGCGGCCCTGCGCCTGCCTGTGTGAGGCTCATGTCCTAAATGTCCTAAATGTTTCCACATGCCCAGCACCCACAGGGCCCAAGCTCGCCTCTGCAGTTGATTGTTTTAAGAAGTGAACTCTGTGGAAATACAGCAGGAGGCCGGAGGGCTGAGCTAGGAAGGGGCAGACATGCAGCGCAGGGGCTTTCAGACCACGCTGTGGGGTCCGCAGGGCCAGCCCCACATCCCCCCATCTCGGTCACCACTCCAGGGGCTGCTTCTGCTCAGCAGGACTCCCCTTCCTCTGGGCCTGGCAGGGGCCACTGCCAGCGCTCTGCCTGCCCTGCCTGTCCAGGGAGATATCTGACCGCATCCAGTAAGCCCATTCCTCACCCTTGGGGATCTGCCCAGACGGAGACGGGACTCAGCCACGCCCAATGCACTCTGCCACTTCCTGGCTTCCATGGTGGGGGGAGGCCAGGAGTCGCAGTGGCTTCTCAGAGTCATTGATCCACCAGCCCCCCACCCGGGACATGAGCATATGAGGCTGTGGGTGTCTGTGGGGTCCTGGTGTCAGGCCCCGAGGCCCAGCACCTGCCTGCACAGAGCAATGACCTCAGATCCAAGCCAAGCACAGAGACGGGCATTGATGAGGCAGTCAGAGACCTGGGCTGCAGCTGGCCCTGCGATGCCGAGGTCACAGTGGCCCTTCTGTGACCCAGACTGGAAGCCACTGACCAGGATGCAGGCACAGGGGTGGGCTGGATCACAGTCAGGATCAGCAGTCTGTCACACTGCTGTGCCCTCTCCCGTGCTGGGTGTGGCGGGCCAGTGACAAGCATGTGCCCCCGCCCCAGGGAGCATGTGCCTCTGCCGTAGGAAGTGTCTCCTGACGGCCAACTGCAGGCCGGGGAATTAACTTCTGTGCTCTGCAGGCGCACGGGCTCAGTTGGCGCCTGGGCTGTCAGGATAGGGTGTTCTAGGAATCTACAAGGCTCCGGCCCAGGAACGCACCACCATGCAGCAGCACTGGGTTCCTTACAGCATGCCCAGTCCATTGTAACTGATCATTAAATGGTGCTCGGTGCTCACGGTACTCAGCATCGAGCACTTTCTATGCACTGCTTGGGTCACTGCCATTCCTGACTGTTGGCATCACTGTGCTCAGTTCTGGCGAAGCCACTGGAGCTCTGGGAGGTGCGACACATGAGGGCTCCTACACAGCTGGTGGTTGTCACCTTTGTCCCCACTGCACAGGGCAGGGAGGCTGAGTGCTGGCCGAGGCCTGCAGATGCTCCTGATTCCAGCGGCTTCCATCCTGATGGAGTCCGGAAAGCTGAGAATACACCAACTCTGCCCGGTACGGCAGCCTGGTGCTCAGCACTTGGCAGAGGGGCCCAGGCTCGGGCACAGCACCCGCTGAGTGTCACCGGGCAGGAAGAGATCAGAGCTCACAGCCAGAAGTGTTTCTGCTGGAGTCCCTCACTTCTGGATCCTTGGGAAGCCAAACACACCCGAGCTGAGCCGTGACGAGGCAGGAGCTGCCCAAAGTGTGCCTCCCTGCAGGGAGGGTGGATGTTGAGCTGGTGGCTCTGGCTTTACTGATTTGCAGGCAGGTGGCCGGCGGCAGGGCGGGCAGAGAGCCCCAAAGCTGAGTGCTCTGATGGCCCCAGCAGGGCACCTGCTGTCACCCTTCGGGAGGCCATGACCAGCTCTGGCCTATAGTGAGAGGCTGGAGGCAGAAGCTCAGGAGAGGAGCAGGCTCGAGGAGTCCCCTGCTCTGAATGTCATGGACACTGTGTCCAGATGCACACCTGTGTGACTCTGGACACTCCCCAGGGAACTGCACCAGACGTTTCCCAGAACAGGAGGGCCGCTGCCCCCCACACACCCCTTCTTCAGGAGATGAGGAGCAGGGAGCGAGACACCAGTGAAACCCCGCTCTAGGTGCGTGCCTCAGGCTGACTCCATTATTTCCAGCCGAACTGTTTCTGCTGCCGTATTAGCCAGCCGCTATGCAACTAAGATGGTGGGCTTTTAGGAAACCATGGAGGACCCCAAGAAGGATGAGATGAATGTTGGGGGTGAAATCAGAGGGTTTGAGGAACTCTGGCCTTGGAAAGTGAGCTGGCCCCTTCCATGGGGTGAGCAGGCTGTGTGGACAGAGGCCACGTGACCCCTCAGGGTCCGGCCTGGTGCCCTGTAGAAATTACTCTCCTGAGAGAAGTGAGGAGGTGGGGGAACAGAAGCGGGCACCAGCAGGGCCGGGTGTGCGGGGTTCCCGTGATTGCATTGTTTTTGTTAGCAGCATTCGGACAGCATCAGCCCCACTGTCTGGTCAGTGTCAGTGCAGGGCCAGCCACTGTCCTTGCTGGGCTTCGTGGTTACTGCAGCACACGGCGTCCCTTGCCCCATTCCTGACCAGGGCTAAAATGCTGGTTGGAGACGTCTGTGCTGGTGATGGGCAGGCTGGAAATGAGCCCTGACTCTGCAGCAAGGTTCTCTGAAGCCATGCCAGGATCATAGCACTGTCCACCATGGGAGGACAGGGTGGGGACAGGCCTCCCGTGCAGCCGTGCTCCTCTGGTGTGCCTCGCGTGGAAGCTTGCGGCGTGGGCCGGCGGGTGGGGGCCAGGGCAGGAGGCGGCCTGTTGGTCTCAGACGCATTAAAAATGCATTTTTGACTATGTGCTAATAGAGGAAACTTCAGATTGCTGCTCCTTTGCGAGCCCTGCCTGGGATCAGAAACCCCTATTACAAGGGGCTGGTGTGTGGCGATGGCGCTGGGGTCCAGCCGCCAGATGGCACCTTAGGTGGGTTCTGTGGAGACAGCTGGGAATCTGGGGGCCACGGGAATTATATCGAAGCCACTGAGGGGCGGAGCTGAAATCTGGATTTGGCCCAGCATCTAGGTCTGGTGCAGAGGTCAGAGCAGCAGGGCCCCCAGAAGCTGCGGCGCCCTGAACCCCACATGGCCACAAGGGGGCGCCATCTCCACACACAGTGGGTTGCAGTTGTAGAGATGGGCTGGAGTCCGGGTCACAGTGCTCACATCCCAGCTCCCTGGCCTGCCCCCCACTGCCTTCTCAGTGAGGCAAGGCCTGCCCCCAGTCAGGTGTTTGCTAAGCAGTCCCATGATGTCCCAGAGGCTGCTGAGAATGTGGGCCGGCTTCCACTGCTCAGAGGGAAAGGGCTCAAGACAGGTGTGTGGGTGGCATCAAGGGGCAGAGAGCAAAGACACACAGGTCAGGAGGGCAGCTGAGAGGGAGGCAAAGCCCTCAGACCCTGCCCTGCAGGGACCACGGACCACCAGGGGCTGCCTCTGGGGCTGAGGGGGGCCCAGTGGGGCAAGGCACACACCCCACTTCCACAGGGCAGAGGGGGCGCACTGAGGAGCGAGGACAGCACCCTTCAAAGTGTAGCCGTACCGGTGTTCTCCTGGGAGAGAGGGGCCTCTGGGCTAGGAGGTCTACAGTCTCCATCTGTCCTGTTGATTATCCTACCCTGAACGTCACTGCCCAAGGGCCATCATGCCCTCCATCAGGGACTGCTTTCTCCAGCCAGTGGGCACCTGACTCCTGCCTTACACAGGGAGCACTGGAAAGGACACAGAGGCCTGCAGAGCCAGCCCGGAGCTGCGTCCACATGTGTCCTGTGGCACAGCAGCTGTGTGCTGACCCCAGTGGCCCCTGTGCCAGCTTCATATCTTCAGGCTAGGGCTTGGGGTCCCCATCCTCAGTCCCCATCTGGCAGAGGAGGAGGCTGGCCCAGCCTGTGGCAGGGGCTGAGGGGTCGAGGGACGGGCAGCCCTGGCACCCGCTGGGCACTGCACCCACGTCAGACCCCTTCATTGCTTAGGTCTGGGTTGCAGGCCGGCGGGGATCTCGTGGGAACGGTCACAGGAAGGCTGTGGGATGCAGACTGGGAGAGGGCAGGATGCTCTTACTATGCTACAGAAAGAACGCTAGACAGGGAGGCAGGAAGGGCTCGTCCCTGACCACACACACGCATCCTCCTCATGCCAGCAGGGCCCCGCCTGCTGGCCAGGACGGCTATAGTGACCAGCTGCCGGGGGGACTGGGAGGGTCCCACCACCAGCGCTTACCTGAGGTACTCATAGAGCCCGTACATGGGCAGGAAGTCAATGTCGGACAGGAACATGTATGGCGTGCGGATGTGCTTCAGGGCCACGTTGCGCAGCAGGTTCACGGGGTAGAACTGGCCCTCCTTGTACACGATGTGGTAGCCCACGTTGTGGCGGCCCATGAGCACCTCGGAGCCCTGCGCGTAGCGCAGGAACTGCTGGGCCTCGGCGTCCGACAGGTACAGGGCCAGGCTGATGGGCCCCTCCCAGTGCTTGCAGATGGCCTCGAGCATCTGGAGCCTGGAGACAGGGAGCGCATGAGGGGACCCCGCCCAGCCTGGCCACCCGGGCGTTCTCTGCTTCCAACTCTCAAGCAAAGCCACACCCCACTCGGCCTGGAAGCCCTTTTCCAGGCATTTGGTATAGCACAGAAAGCAGACTCACGCAAGCCAGGCTGCGAGTGTGCATGGCTGAATGACCTAAAGGCCCCTTCCAGCCGAACTCCCGTGCTCCTCTCTGGGCAGAGGAACGAAACAGTTCTACTCAAGCATGGTGGCACACACCTGTAATCCCAGCACTAGGGAGGCTGAGGCCGGGGGACTGCTGCGAGTCTGAGGCCAGCCTGGCTACGCAGTGCGTTCACTCCAGCCTGAAACTCTTCTCTCGCGGCTCACACACCTAACTCCTTTCCTGCCCTCTGGGCATCCATGGAAACAGCCCTTCTCCTAGTCACCGCCCACGCCGGTACTGTGAACTGGCCTCGTGCGGCTGGGAGCACTTAGGTGCTGGTGGTGCCACTGGTGCCACCTGCCCTGGCCTCACTGAGAGGTTCAGACAGCAGGGCTGCTCCTCCTGCGGGTCTCACTTGCCCTGCAGCCGGGATGAGAACGGCTTCCAGAGCTTCCCGGTGGCTGCCCAGCCCTGGCCAGGACTGACAGTGGCATGGTGGCACACGCCTGTGGGCAGCTGGGCACACAGCGCTGTGGGCAGTCAGGGAGCCCAGCCCGGGTCGGGTGGGCCTTACCTGTCCATGGACAGCTGGGCCACCAGCGTGACGTCGGTGCTGTCCGCGGCCGGCTCGTACTCGTAGTGCAGGAAGTACAGGTGGGTGCGGTGCACCGTGAAGCGCTCCCGCCGGAACTCATAGCACAGGTCGTCCTCGTCCAGCTCCGACAGCTGCTTCTGGAGCTGCAGGCGGAGCAACATGGGGCTGAGGAGAGCACCCTGGGGCCGGGGGCTCCCCGACTCTGCCCACCCACAGGCTGCGCCCGGGGACATTGTCCGTGGGCCCACGGAGGGCGGTTCTTGAGGGGCAGAAGCCTCCGCAGTTTAGAGACGAGGCCACGCCCAGCTGCAGGCAGGAGGGCCCACAGACAAGGACACAGCCTCCAGGGGTGCCCGGAACCCCCAGACTTGGGTTCCTAGGTGACCTGCAGAGCAATTTCAAATAACACGGGGAAACACAGAGGAGAAAACCCAGGCAGCGAGGACCTGTGTGGCCCATGCTTTGGACTCCCGAGAGCTACAGATTTCAATCTGCACCAGCAACTGGGAAGCAGGACCAGGCCAACCTACAACAAAACACAGACTTGTCCTTCCTTGCCCTGCAGCCTAGGCAGCCAGGGCCGGCTCTTTTCCACCTCTTCAGATCTCTGAGAGCCTCGTTTGGCTCATCTGTGGCAGGAGTCCGCACTGGCTGCCTTCTCCCCAGCTCTACCACTGAGGCCCTGTTTACGGCCGGCTCCAACACTGTGACCAGGTCTTTAGATGGGTGGCCGCCCGGGGAGGGGTCGCACAGGGTGAGCCCTGAGGTGCGAGTGGGAGAAGCCACCTCAAACCACACTGCCGCTCACGTCCTGCGGTGTCAGATCTGCAGAGCAGGTGCCCTAGTCTAAGTTCAGACTGTTGGCCCGGGTGTTGGTCGCTAAATGAAGCACCTGCCCTGCTCTGCCCTTCCAGCAGCCAGGGCGGCTCTGCTTTCCAGGTCAGGTTGATGCGTCATTGTGCCCCTGGTTTCAACGTAAGACCCGGAGGCGGAATTCCACTCCATGGAAGATTCTAGGTGTAGAGAACAGCGGGCATGTGGGTGTGCGTGGGTGTGAGCATGGGCAGGAGCACTAGTGACCAGAGGATGAAGGTGTAGTGTGGGCTCCTATCCTTGGTGCACACGTGCATGCATACCCCGCCCCCCGTGAGTCGGGTTCAGGGGCATGGTCCAGAGACCCACAGAATAGTTCCTAAGGGCAGGAGCTGCACCCCATGCATCTCTGAGCCCTGGAACCTAAGGCACCCGAGCATCTTCTCACCACTGCCAGACAGAAAGGGCAGAGGCCAGGGAAACATAACTGCCCAGTGCTGCTTGTGCTGGCAGGGAGGGCTGACCAGTGGTCCTGGGGATATGGGGTTTCTACCTGGGACTTCCTGCCATGGTGCTGCCCCAGGACCAGGACCCAGGAGAAGCTGTCCCGCCATCCCCCACTGGGCCCTGCAGTGGGCACCTTAGGTCTGTTGCCACACACACCCACTGCAGGACTCTGACCCGGCCTGCCCCATCCCTGGGCTCGGTGCTAGCCGCAGGGTCACCAGTGTGGTCTGCAGCTTTGCTCAGCGGATCAGACAGCGGCGAGGGCTAAGCAGGCGCATTCATCTCAGGCATGAAGGAGGAAACCGAGGCCTAGGGCTGGAGACTTTAAGGCAGGGACATCACACAGCACAGTCATCTCCTCCGCAGGACAGATGTGAGGACCCAATGAGGTGGCCGAGGACGCAAGGCTCCGCGAAAGACAAAGGCCATAAAGATATACAGCAGCACGGCCCAGCAGAGCACAGTACAGGCCACAGCCCTGGAAAACACATTCGAGGGAACACTGCACCATGACAGGATTGTCCTGGGTGAGGGATCTGAAGATAAATTTTATGGCCCTTTTTGCTTTTCTGCAGTTAACTGATTCCCTGCAATTTTCTCCATGAGAGAGTGCACGCAGGAGGGCTTTGTAACTGGAAAGCACTCTGCACACCTCAGCGATGTGGTATGATTTCCGTGCAGGCGCCTTTGCAAATGCTTACATGGGCTGCTTGGCTGGACCGAACCACTGTTGCCCGCTCTGCTCCAGAGAGGGAGCCTGCAGCTCAGAGCGACTCCTTCCCACCAGGGTCAAGTCACATCTCCTGGGAAACCCCGGCCTGCAGGGAACACTTTCATTAAGAGGGACTGAGGGCCACGACCCGGTACCCTGCGCTCTGTCCTCCCCACCGGGCTCTTGGCAAGCAGGTCACAGAGACAAAAGACCGATTTCTCCTGAGATCAAACGACTTGCTAAATCGCTGCTCTGGGCAGCTGGCTGAGGCGCAGAATTCAGACTCCGGGGGAAATGGCCTTTTCAGTGGTCTGCACTTATTTCTTCCCCTCCCTGGGGACAGTGGCTGGATGACCTCAGAGCTGCCGGAAATGATGGCTGCAGCTGAGAGGCCCTGGTGCTGGGGAAGCAGGTCCCCATGCTCCTGCCCAGGAGGCCTAGCTCACAGCCAGGCAGAGCCACCGAGTGGAACAACTGGAAATAGAGACTTGATTGTGGTGGGGTGCATTTCCTGAGTGCACTGAGCAGTCCTTCCTGACAGAAGGACCAGGAGCGCAGGTTCAGAACTGGACTCCCGGAGGTCACCGGAGGCACGCTCATGCTCCAGGGCTGGGTGTGGGCTCCTCTGGGTGATGCCTTCGCCTGAAGACCTCAGTCCTTGGGAGCGTTCAGCCTCTGCTCAAAGGCATGCAGCGAGTGACCCCATCCCTGGTGTAGGTCCCCAAGTTGTCGCGGTGACCAGGAAACTCACCAAGCAACCCTGAGCTCCTGCTCACTCTGTGGCTGGATGAGTTTGTAGCTATGGAAGACGACAAGATGACAGCAACGTCCACCCCCACTGACATCCATGTCCTCTCCTTCTGGGCCCCTGGTGGGGATGCACTAAGGTCCACCAGATGTGGGTGGGCTTGGGGCAGCATGGGCACCGCTCACATTGTCTGTCCCAAGCTGACATCTGGAGCAAGAGAATCTGGCCGGGCAGGCTGCGTGGCCAGGGCATCGTGGAGGGCACAGCCACAGGAGTGTGGAGCCCGGGCCTGAGTGCAGCCACTGCCATGTCGAGCACTGAAGCCTCCTGCAGCTGCATGTGCCGCCTCGCCAGGCTGCTGAGCACGGGGCATGGGGACAGGGCCTTGCCGCAGGAGGCCACCTGGTCCTTCCTGTGACCTCTGTGCTCTCGGGCACACGAGGGAGGTGCTGGTGGGAAGAGGACACTGGGGGACACCACGCACGCTCTCAGCTCGTTCCACACCTGGGCCTCACGCCCTCCCCTTCCTTCCTCCTCCTCCCACACGCGTGTGTGACACGCAGGGCTTTGGGCATCACTGAGAGCTGAGGAGAGGGCCTGGACCTGCTTCTGAAGCTGGGCCAGGCTGTTCCCTGGTGGCCACGAAGCACTCAGAGTCAGACGATGAGGAGACTACGGCTCACTGGTCACCTGCCGTGGTGATTCCTGGTTCCAGGGCCCAGAGTGGTTTTATTTTAGGGAAACCCACCGTGTTCCTCTCCGTTCTTGAGGTATTTGTTCAACTCTGTTCCTGAGGGCTCAGGGAGGGCTTGGCTGGCCCTGAGAGCCTTGCAGTGGATGAGAAGCAAATGCAGTCTCTACTCTCCTGGTGTCAGGATGTGGCACAATCACTAGGCTCCCATTTTAGCCAGGTCCTGTGTGAGGGGCCGAGCTCAGGTTCTGCCCTTTGGCTGGGCTCCGGCCCAGCAGGCAAGTCCGAGACAGACCTGGTATGATCAGAGATGGCACCGCCTGGTTCGGAGGCCCCACTGCTGTGAGCCAGGTCTGTGCTATGTATTCAGCCCTGTGCCTGGCAGCTGAGATCACCGTGGCTCCTGCACTCGGCAAGCACCCCAGGGGTGTCCCTCTGTCTTGTTTTGGTGGAGGAGGGTACTGTGGCTTGTGTCTCCACGTCCCCAAAGCCTTGTGCGGTGCTAGGTGGTCCCTTCTTGGAGGTGGCTGGGTCCAGTGCACGTGACTGATTCTTGGTGCAGTGCTGGGGTTAAGGGGGCTGGGAGCAGGGTGGGGGATCTCGGGCCAGCTCCCCCACTGGACTGGCACCGCCCCAGTGTGGGAGCCTGGACACAATGTAAGGGACAGAAAGAGGCTCATCTCCCCCTCCTTGGTTGTTCTTGCTGTCTTCTGCTGCCGTGGACTGCTGCCCCTCTGCCACGCCACACCGCTTAGAGCCAGGTGATTCTGGACTGAAACCTCCCCAAACTGTGAGCTAAATAAACCTTTCCTCCTTTCATGCTGGGTACTGGCTACTCTGTCTTAGTAACAAGGAAAGTAGCTATGACAGAGGACACTGTGAAAGGCAGCGTGTGAGGAGAGAAATGTGGGGCCCACACAGCTCAAAGCCACACCTGCAAGGATGTGCTGTGCCCACTGCAGCCAGGGGGCACTGGGTGGGCAGCTGGGGTGAGGGAGGGTTGGGCCCACACTTCCGCTCTCTGAGGCTACAGACCCCAGGCTCCTGTGGCCTCCCCCAGCCCAGGGTTCCTTGGCCAGGTTGGACCCTAAGGTCATCCTGGGACTCCAGGTCCTGTCCACCCTGCCCTGCTGTCAGCTGTGGGCCCGAGGAGCTGGTGACATGCAGTCCATACATGTGACCAGGGATGTCTCGGGATGCAGATGTTCCTAACGGGCCATTCGCCGCTTGACAGTGCCCTGCAGCATCGGCATTTACAGAATCTCATTAGATGGATCTGATTTAACCCTATCAGAGTCACCACGAAGCTGCTGTCTGTTGTTCTTTGTGGGCTCAGTGTGGGGAGCCTGGTCCTGGGGGAGCCGGCCCATCACCCTGGCAGCAGGAGGGACCGCAGTGTGGACCAAAGATGAGCCTTTCCCAGGAGCCGCCACAGGCCAGCGTAACAATCTCTTCGGGCTGCCGAGCTCCGCCTGCTGGGATAATCCACTGGCCACTTCGCAGGGAGGAAATCCGAGGCTCCCAGGAGGCTGCAGCGATGTCCAGAGTCCTGGCCCAGTGCTGGGCGGACTGCCCGGTTCCCAGGACAGGCATCTCTGTGATACCTGCAAACGCTCACGAAAATAAACGCATTACAGTTTGCTCACTCAGCACAGCTTCCTGCATGTGCGCTGGGTGCTGGGCGGGCTTCACAGGCACACAGACAGACGGATGGATGAACCATCACCGGGTTGTCGGGTGACACACGCTGTGGAGGGCTCGAGGAGGCCCGGAGACAGCACTTGCCTAGGATGGTCCCTGAGATGTCTGGTCGGGGACCTTTTAAATGAGAGGCCTGTTGTGGGGAGTCGGGGGCCAGCGTGTGCCCCCTCTGCCCCATCCTCTTCTGTAACCCAGCCAGCATTTTCTCCTCCACAGCATGGAGTATAAAAAAACAGCCTCAGTGTAAGAAACACCGTGAGTAGGGCAAGTGGGAGGATCACCAGAAGCTTTGTGCGGTGGTGGTGGTGTTGCTTCGGAACAAAGGCTGCGTCCCCTCAGCAAGCGTGGCCCTGGCTTTGGGATGGCGGGGTCGGGAGCTGCGCCAGGACGTTGGTCCAGCGCCCTGAACTTGGTCCCTCCTCAGAGCTCTGGGTGACGCTGCGCCAGGAACTCGGCTCACTGGCGCTGTTCTCTGTGAAACCCGGCTGGTATCGGCCCCCTCCCATGGGGTGAGGACGACAGCGGTGTCCCTCTCTCCCTGCAGGGCTCTCTGGTGCCTGGAGGATGGGAGGAGCAGATAAAGGCCTTGGGACAGACACCAGGCTGTGTCACCAGGCTGCAGCGACTTGGTGACGGGGCTGGCACAGGGATGCCCAAGAGGGACACTCGGTGCCCTCGCCAGGGAACTGGTGCCGAGGACCCAGGGTGCCGCTCCGGGGATCCTCCCCTCGTGATGTTGTCTATTATGCACTGCCTGCATCCTGGAAGTTGCTGCTGGCAGGAGTCGTGCAGGGGAAATGCAGGACCGAGGCCGCCCGTCAGCCACTGCTGCTCTGCAGCCCGGCAGGGGCTCGAGTTCTTCCAGAGCAAAGCACCTCGCCAAGGCGTGCCTGGACTGTGTGCCTTCGTTTCTACTTCTCCCGGCAGCAGGACCAAGCCAGGCCTCTTCCTCACCGGGACTCCGGGGCGGTTCAGCACGGGGCCCTCCCTGGCTTCACGGTCAGCAGCCCACAGGCTCTGGGCAGCAGCACTGACAAAACCCCGGCTCCATGCACGAGCAACAGAGGGCAGACGCGCCAGGTCCTGGGTGCACGGGAAATGTGTCCAAGCCCTGCACCCAGGGTGGTGTCCCAGAAGTCACCTGTGCAGTGCTGTGACGAGGGTGTCGTCGTCCCCTCCATCCCTGGCCCCTGGAGTCACAGCAGAGGCCTCAGCTCAGGCTGCCCGTCACTCCAAGCTTCCGGTCTCCACTGCCTGTGCCGCTCTGTGCCCTCGAGGCCCCACCAGGGCTGTCCCCACCTACTCGCCCTCAGGCCCACCTCCTCCGGGAAGCCGGCTCTGCTGGCCCCGCTCCCGACTCAGAGCTACACCCCCCTGCCACCCTGGTCACCTGGAAGGACAGACCTGTGCGGCCTGCAAGCCCCAGCCCCTTGTTCTGTGTCTGCCCCTCAGTGCCCCTTAGCCAGGCCCTGCCAGGATGAGCACTGGAAAGAGGGGGCATCCAGGGTGAAGGAGGGCCGGGGCCAGTGGCCACTGTGCTGTGACTCAGAGGCCGAGGACCCCGAGGTGGGGAGGCACTGGGACCAGTGTCACTCTGTGAAAAGCCAGGAGAGTTCATGGTACTTGTCACTGGGAGCTCCTACCACTGCCGCCCACCCTCTGCAAGGTTTGTGTCCTTGTAAACTGAGTCTCTTCAACCAAGACACAGATGCCAGAGGAAGGGACTGCTGTCCTTTGCACTTTTAAGAGCTCTTGGGGCTCAGAAGACCTGGGGGCCTGGCCCTCACCGAGCTTCCAGCCTACGGTAGCACTAAGGACGGGGACAGCAAGCAACCCGCTCTGGGTCTGGGTCCGTGTGTTTCTGGGCAGTTTCTCGCCTGCTCTGAAGTCGGCCCCAGGGAGACTGAATCAGCTCGAGGCAGGTGGCAGGTCCTGGCAGGTGCAGGAGCCACTTCTCAGGTCACTGGCACAGCAGAGGGGCTCAGAGCCAGCCCGGAGCCTGATGCCACAGCCCCACAGCTAACAGCTCTGAACCAACTTCAGCTTTGCTCCCTCCCTGCTGGGCAGTCCTGGCAGCCTGGCCACCTCCCTGTGCCTCGATTTCCCCACCTGTGAGTGAGCGCCTGTGAGCCTCAGATGAGACGCAATGCACGGACGACTCTGAGCAGCATGGAGTCAGGGAGGTGGAGCGGGTGCTGGCTGTGCCTGTGGTGGGCACCCAGCCCGAGGGGCAGCCTCCTGTCCCCCACCAGACTCCTCGGACACAGACTCGGGTTCCCCGGCCCCGGGACTCACCCGGCTCCTCCCCACGCCCTGCCCACCCAGGCCCCTGGGGCCACTCACGTCCTTGCTGCTGGCGTCCGCCACGCCGGCCTCGCTGGGGCAGCCGAAGAGCTCGCGGCGCAGCAGGTTGCCGTCGTACTCCAGGAAGGTCAGGTAGAGGTTGCGGAAGAACTCCACGTGCTTGTTCTTCACCCGGAGCTTCTTGGGCGAGTTCCAGTGGATGACCTGGGGCGCGGACGGGCACAGCTGCACACACCTTCACTCTTTCCTCCTCACTGCACACGGACGGAGGAGGAGGGCTCTGCAGCCGGAGCCTGACTCGAACCCTGACCCAACCTGCAGTCACTGCCCTTGTCAAAGCCTGTGCCTCAGTTTCCCACGTGTGAATCAGGAGCCTGCAGCTCTTGCCTTTGCCAGGTAGGAGGTCATGGAGGCTGGGCCTGCAAAGTCTGTCTCAGCCCAGGGCCTCATAAGGAAGGAGGGACACTGCCTCCCGCAGCCCCTTGGGCCCGTCTCCTCCCCACAGTGGTGCCCCCTTTACCAGCAGCCACAACCCTGGGCTGCTGTCCTTCCTCCTGTGCCCACAGCTGCTGCCCTGATGATGGCTGGGCCCCACTCTGGACCCCACTCCCTCCCTGGGTTCCTGCAGTTCTATGTGCTGTAACCGTGGCCAAAAGTTTTTGTTTCTGTTATTTATTGCTGAGTGAAAGTTTATGCCCAGTCGCCACTTTAAATATAAGCTCTGGGTTTAGTGACTGGTGTGGCTTCTGCCCCCACTCGGGCTCTTATCACCGTTTGTGCCTCCCACCACACACGCAGGCACACGGCAAACACATTGACTCACATGGCACACACACACACACACACACACACACACCCGCCATTATCAATCCCTGAAGCGACCCGGGGAGGGTGATAGACCCAGGCACTGCACCAGCCCCGTCGAGCCTCACACAGAGCCAGCTCCGGCTGCTCTGACCTTTCCTCCTCTGCGTCTGCATCTCTCAACAAGTGAGGACCACGGGCACGGACCAAGGCCGGGGCTCTGGCCCGGGGCTGTGTACACAGAGAGGAACGGATTCTGCCTGGCAGCTAATGGCCCTGAGAACCAGGACTCTGAGGCATGAGGAGGCCGCACACTGTACCATGAGCCATTGGTGATCGCTCCTGGCACTTAGAGAGTGCAAAGAAGCCAAGGCCCAGGGCGGTCAGTGCTTCTCCCAGAGCCACGCGGGAGAGCGGGAGCAGCCCTTCCTGTCCCGGGCCACAGCCTGACTGGGAGGGGCTGACTCAGGATGGGACTGCTGGCTGACGTCCTCTGTCCCTGCTGTGGACCAGTGAGAAATGCCACTTCCCAGCCCCCACTCAGAGGAACTGAGTCACCTGTCACTGCTGGCCCGGGGTGGCAGGGGATTCCTGCCAGGCTGTCATACTGTGGATGGCCAGACATGGGGGAGCTGCTTAGAACAAGGTTGTGTGCCAGGTTGGGGAGCAGGGGCTGCAGGACGGCAGCGGCAGTGGTGACGACCCAGTGACGTGGAGGTGATCACCGCTGCCATCAGCGGCTCATGGGTGGGGCGCCAAGCTCTGCTCTGATGGCTCACGGCAGCTCATCCACTCTGCAACTCTGTCAGCCCAGGTCCTCTGTGCCAACACCTTCCAGGTGAAACTTCCCCAGGTCACACAGCCAGAAAGCAGGAGAGGGAGGGTTTAAGCCCAGGCAGACGAGAAACCTGGCAACCTGAGCCTGCTCTGTTCCCTATTGGCGGTCGGACAATGACACCTGTTCCAAAGTGAACGCGAAATTTCCAGGGCACCCAGCCGCAGCCTTGGTCCCCACCCCCAGATTGGCACAGACCAGGCTGCAGGCGGTCAGGACTCCCTGCAGCAGAGTGGATGGCTGCCCAGCACCAAGGCCTGCTCTGGTGATGCGACACCTCCCAGGCGTCCCTGAAGGCCGAGAGCTGGTGTGGGCTTGGTGTCAGCCTGCAGTGAGGCAGACACAGCTGACAGCAGATGTTTGCCATCCTGGAGACTCAGACGTCATCCTGGAAGGCAGAAGTGGTCAGCGTGACTGAAGGAGAGATCAGCAGCTCTGCCACTCATTGGGGAGCAGAGGGAAGCTGCTCAAAGGCAGAGGCGAGACCTCAGCATAGGAAAGAACGGCTGCGACCCTGGTGGGCTCATGAAAGTGCTTCCGGGTCATCAGAGCCGAGCCTGTGTGTCAGTGCCCGGCTAGCGGAGTATGGTTTGCACTGCTTCCCATGATGGGGTAAGAGCTGTGGGCGTCCCTGGGGGGCCCTTGGTGACCCACAGAGCAGCACCGCGCTCCTCGGCAGCTGAGCTGCTGCGATCGGAGCTTGAGGTCAGGGAGGGGGGCCATCCCACTGGGTCTTGACCCTGTCTTTCTGGACACTGCTTCCACACGTGCACCCCATGACACTCCAGAAAACATTTCTTCTCCACTAGGTACCCATCTGCGTGTCTCATGCAGGGCTCAAATGCCCCTCATCTGGGAAGCTGTTCCTGAGCACCCGGAGTGGACGGCTGCCCCACAGCCCCTCCTCCCCCCATTCTCCATTCCTAAGGGCACCAGGTCTGCTGTGCCCGTGAGGCATTCAGCTCCTGTACTGAACCAGATCTGTTTAAATCTGAGCCAGCATCTCAGTCCTGTCTGTGATTTCCCCTGCAGCTAGGCATGATCGTGTGATATAAAATGGCCCCAAAGTCATAGGGAAGCATGATTTTCTAGGGAAAAGATTCTGATTAGCCACTGACACCCTCCTCCAAATCCACCCACCTTTCTGTCAAACAGAGATGTAGTGGCTGGAACCCTGGCAGCTATTCTGTGACCGAATGGGCAGATCAAGGCATCGATGACTACAAGCCCACGCCTACAGCTGTCTGCGTCTGCAGTCTTTGGTCTCAAGTTCCAGCCTGGCACTTCCCTGTATGCTTGGGGTTTCTGACCGTCACTGCACAGCTCCTAATGTAACATCAGGAGCGGGCCCGGTGTGCTGTGGGCTCTTGCAGTTGACTCCACCGGAGACCGCTGCTCAGCCTCTGCCTTTATTTATTCATTTATTCATGTGCCTGCAGCTGGCAGCACGAGGATGTGCCTTTCCAGGCCAGCAGGGAACACGACTCATTGCTCGTCCCAAGTGCCAGCGCCGGGCAGAGAGTTAGTATCCACAGCTGCCCTTTGGCTCAAGAATGGAAATCACAATGACATTCTTGGCCATCCTTGTGTTCTGTCTGTCCTCAGTAAATCAGCTATAAAAGCCCTACAGCCTGTCATTTCCTAAAGGACTTTAAGTTTCCTCTTTATGCACATGTCAAACAACGTTTTTTACAAGTCTCTCTCCCTTGTCATCTTGACGATGTGGATTCAGAGCAGGAGCAACGAGGGCGGGGCCAACCTGGCAGAAGCCCAGCTCTGTCAGCTGGGACCGAGGTGGTAAAACTCCGTGACAGCCCTCTCACGGGCGGCACAGCCACAGCCTTGCAGAGCAGTGGAGAGGTCAGGACAGACGCACTGGCAAACATGGGGCTTCAATTCAGGGTCAGCTAAGCAGATAGAGGACTCCCTCACCAGGGCCTATTGTGTGTGTGTGTGTGTCGAGAGGGCACTCAGAGCCATGTGGGCAGGCAGGGTTGAGGGAGAATCTGCCCTCCATGTGGGGAGCACCACTCAGTCAGCCTGGGGGCCTGAACAGACAAAAAGGCGCCCAGGGTACACACTTTGCCCACTCTGGGAATCAGGACTCCAGACTCCCTGACCCAAGGACTCCAGTAGCCCCACTTGTCCTCACACCACTGGGCTCAAACTGAGAGTGACACCATGGCTTCTCTGATTCTTGGGCCTGCTAACAGGTAGCACACAGTCTTCTGCAGCTGGCCTGTGATCATGGAGCTTCTTGGTCTCCATAATCACATCATCCTATAAACCTCCTCCTCTCCATCTTCCTTCCTTCCATTCACCCTCCAATACAACCATCCATACTCTCATTCATCCATCCTCTCATTCAGCCATTTTCCCATCCATCCATCCATCCATCCATCCATCCATCCATCCATCTACCCATTCATCCATCCATCCATCCATCCATCTATCCATCCATCCATCTACCCATTCATCCATCCATCCATCCATCCATCCATCTATCCATCCATCCATCCATCCTATCCATCTATCCATCCATCTATCCATCTATCCATCCATCTACCCATCCATCCTCTCATACATCTATCCATTCATCCTCCCATCCATCCATCCATCCATCCATCCATCCATCCATCCATCCATCCATCCTCCCATCTATCCATTCATCCTCCTGTCCACCCATCCATCCATCTGATTGGTTCTCTCTGGAGGACCCTGACAAATAGACACAAAGACATCTCACGTGATTGTGAAATGATGTTGCACTCCAGATAGGCTGGGTAAGAACAGCATCTCTATGTGGGCAGGAGGAATAAGAAACAAGACTTTAAATAAAGGGCTGAGACTGTCTCAGAGCTGAGGGGCAGGGGCAGGCAGGCATGGATGAAACCACCAGAGAAGGCTGCAGGACAGGGCAGGGGCCCCAGAGCACTGTTCTGGACGGTGTTTTAACACAGTGCAGACTGGGGTGTGCTAATGGGTCTGGACCAGCAAACTCTGTGCTCCAATTTTACCCCCTCCCAACTCCACCACCTACATATCTTAATTTTTCCAACCTCTATTTCCTTCCAGTCTGCTGAAACGATATAATGCTGCCTGCTGCAGATGATGGGTGAAACAAACGGTGTCATGGAGTTGTGACAACTAAATTCATGTGTCCCCTGACTGGGCCACAGGAGCCCAGGTGTCAGGATGAACGCTATTCTGTGATCTGTCTGTGATGAGCCTGGGCCCTGAGCCAGCTCATGGAGCAGACGGCCCCCAACCTAGGCATGGTGCCATCCACCCTCTGAGGGCTTCCTGGAAGTCAGGGATCTGGCCCCTTGCCCGACTGTCCTCAGACTGGCTCTGAAGGATGCCGCTGCTTTCCTGGGGCTCTGGCTGGCACACTGTAGGTCAAGGGGTACCCAGATGCCAATTCCTTGTACACTCCTCTTTGGTAGATGCCGGTATGGATGTGCCCACTGGTTCTTCTCTGGAGAACTCACTGGGGTCACACCCAGGACCCCGTGGGTGAACACGGTGGATGCACCAAGGCCCTGTGCTCTGCAGGTCTATGTCC